GGACTGACCCTCTGAAGCTGTCAACAAGCCCTCAACTACATGCTTCCTTCTGTAAGCTGACTTGGTCATGGTGTTTCATCCCAGTAACAGAAGAGCAAGAAAGAGGCAACGATACATTCTAAACCTGACAGGTGGAAGCATCCACCCACCCACCTTGATGATATCCGGCATCTGTTCAGTTTAACCAATGATGTCCTACTCAGCTACACGTAAAATCCAGGTGACATGTTTTCAAAGACATAAACACTGCCCAAATATCATACGGGACACACACTAAGAACTATCTGGAGTTTAAATTTAACTCACTATCCTGTACTGTTTGCCAGAGCTAAGGCTCTCCCTGGTCAGGAATGAGTATGTGTTCTTGTTTCTCTGTAAAGCCAGACTCTTCTTGTGTGGAATGATGTTCCATACTGGACTTAATATCATTCAATATTATAGCCAGGATCCAAGAATCCCTCAGTTTAACACTATTAAGTTATCTCTCTTCCCAAGAGCTGTAGGTAGGGAAGCAGGGGTGGTGCTTGTTCAGGGAAGACATCAGGAGGAAACAAGAATCACCAGATGCCATAGGCAGGGCTGTGGCCTATCCAACCCATCAGAAAACAGCAGCAGCCTATTGACCTTGGTCCCAGATCAGCAGTTTGCATGAGATTGGGATGGGGGAAGGGTGATTTTGGGAAGCCGAAGCACAGAGGGGGACAAGCATGGATGCTAGCCCTTCTTAACACCTTTATCCTAGATGAAACAAACAGTTACCAGTCTCCCAGCAACTACCGCTAAGATGGAACTTGGAGGTTTGTGGACCCTAGCAAGAGGGGCTGCATGATCAGGGAGGAGACTTTGTTGGGACCATGTGGAGTCCTGGCCTCCAGCTGCTCTTCCCTGCTAGAGGTCTTTACTTTCCTTCTGATTTGAGTTACTGAAAGCTGTGTCAAAGTTGTTTACCAGCTCTGCTTCACGAGCGCGTGTTGCCTTGCCTTGAGGATCAGGGAATGAGATTTTCACCTGTTGGCCCACCTGACTGTGTTGGGTAGATAAGCCTCCATGGTGCTATTGAATAAGGGGCTTCTTTACCAGAGACTAGAGGTGTGTGTCTTTGAGTGTTTCAATCTCCAGCCCCTTGCCCGAGGCTCACAAACTGTATGGTAGCACATAGAGCGCAGTTGGGCGTCGTGCGCTACAACACCTCAACTCCTCCCAGTGGCATCAGAACAGGGTGCGCCAGCCATTTCTCTGCAAAGTCACTTTTCTGGTGACGAACACAGATCAACACAGCTGTGAAGGGCAGAGCCCTCCAGTCAGCTATGGCTATGTGACAATCCCCAGGCTGGAGAGAGTCCCTGCTCCAACATGGAAAGAGAGACAGTGTTTGAGGAACAGCAAGCTGAAGTTGTCCTCTGTCCACCCCCCCCCCTCTCTCTCACACACACACACACACACACACACACACACTCACGGAGACACAGAGCTCTCTCTCACACACACTCACGGAGACACTGCTCTCTCTCTCACACACACTCACGGAAACACAGAACTTTCTCTCTCACACACACACACTCACGGAGACACAGATCTCTCTCTCTCTCTCTCTCTCTCTCTCTCTCTCTCTCTCTCTCTCTCTCACACACACACACACACACACACACAGAAGCACAATTACTGTTACTTCAGGTCCCTTGCAGGCCTTAGTTCCAATGCAGCGAAGGCCATGCCCCCAGAGGCTTAGCCCAGCATGAGTGGGCTTCTGGCACCTGTACCCACTGTGCCTCTCGAGTAAGGAAGAAAAACCAGCACAACAAGGCCCTGGTACAAGTTCATTGCAATTTATTTAATTTAAAAATAAAAACAAACAAAAACGACAAAAATCAGTTTCCAATGAAAAATGAACACTTTGGGTCATTAGCCAGCTTTTACTTTCCCTGCCGGCTGTTCTCAGACCAGTCAAAAAAGTGAAAACCAATTCTGACTGGAGCCATAAAGCATGCTGCACCAATTAAATTACACCAATATATTATTATAATACCTTTGAAATGCCTTTTAGACCAATAAATAAAAAAAGGCAAATTCAAATTAAAGTCAACTTTTTATTACCAAAAAAATATAGAAATTAAATAAAAGTCACAACATGGATTAAAAAAATGTGCAGTCAAGTTTTCTCGCTCTCCTTCCCATTCCTTTTTTTTTTCTCTTTTTCTTTTTTTCTTCTTCTTCCTAGGAATGATACCATGCCAGTAAATCCCCACAGAACATTTCCAGTTTGGCAGCAAGCAGTCAGTCCGTCATTCACATTTGTACTCAAGACAGCAGGCCTGGGCAAAACACGCCTGAATTTCACCCTGCAGGGCCTTTGATAAGGAGCGCCTGGTAACAGACCAAATTCAGAAAGAATTTAGCATTGTCAGGTTGCCTGGGGTCTTCAAGCATTTTCCTAAAAACTGATTGTGCCTTGAAATTTACCTGTAAAACGAAGTACAACTCCACCCCTTTGGCAGATGTGTAAACAAAGAGGATGAAAGGGCCCCAGAAGCAAAGCAAGGATCAGGACCTGGAGGGCTGGCAGTCTCCTGTCTCTCCCCAGTGACTCCAGGGAAATGAACCCAGCACACCTTTGGCTGGGGATTGGCTTGTAGGTAAGGGGACTTAATTGGGAAGCTGCTTTTTTAGGGCTCATCTCTATTCTAACTCTTTCCCTTGCAGGGACGGACAGTCAACCATCTCGCTGAGAAGCAGACGTCAGAACCAAGCCTGGCCTTGGAAACCACCTACCCACCACCTCTCCCACCTCCAAACGTAGGAAGCAGCTCTCCACCACTGCAGGGGTCCGAGACCACCAGATCTAAGCACAGCCCTGGGCTTGACTCAGAGTGTCTGCCCTGGAACCGAGGGCTTACCGCAGCCTCTGTACGGGTGGGGGACACTTGTTTCTCCTTTGTCTTAGAGTGTGCTGGCAAAAGAAAGCTTACTGGTGACTGGGAAGAGAGACGGTAGAGTCACCAATGAAGTCACCAGAATGATGGGAAATCCGAAACAGGAACATCCCCCCAACTGGTAATGGCTGGTATACCGGAGACCAGCGGCATGCTCGGTGGCCAGCGTTGTAGAAGCAGGGGCTATTCACAAAAGGAGGCAAGGAGATGGGGGACCAGAGGTTGCATGCTGCCCTCTATGCACCCCTAAACCCAACTCTCTACCTATAGATTTTTCTCCCGTTTAGCCTGTCCCAGAGCTTGAGAAGGAGTTGGTACTGAAAGAATCCAAGCAGCTTCCCACAATGCTCAGCTCAACCTAAAGGAAGACACGGGCCTCAACGCTGGCGTGGGTGGCACACAGAGATACGGGACCGTCTCTGGAAACACGGGGCAGCATCTTCCTGACAACTGTTCTCAGTGCTGTGACATGTTCCGTGTTTTTCCTAGGACTTCCCAAGAGGCGTCCTCCCCCAACCCCCTCTGAGAGGCTATCAGGAGGCAACCACCTTAGAATAAGGATTCTAATCTGTCCAAGCCAGTCAGGTCAGTCTCAAAAGACCATTTCAACCCCAGTATCCACGAGATGCCTGCTGCGGGGCTAACATCACCTGTAATCTGAGTGCCGGGAGATTGGATAACCAGCTAGAACATTTTTAAACATCCTGCCGCACCTCTTTTCTGAGAGCCTCCCCCAGAGCCATCTGGAGGACTCCTGAAGAAATGTCCCTAATTTTGTTGTCCCCCTGCCCAACACTCTTCTCTTTCAACGTCCCGTTCCACGGATGGAAGGAACGTGCAGGGAGATCAAAGCCACGAGACAGAACACTTAGGTTGGAGGAGACAAGAACCTTCGACCAAACCGCACTTTCCGCATCCACACGCCCGCCTACGCCCTAGGTCCCTACACTAGCAACTCATCTACCATTAGTGCTCCACACCTGTGGGTGGATGGGGCCAGCAGCTGAGCTGAGAATCCCAGCCAATTAAAGCATTCGTGCAGGTGAGAAGCCAAGAGGCCGGATTCCAGTTAATACTGAGACATTTAGGAAAGAGATAAGTCGCCCCTTGCTGGCGTGCCTCACCTTCCAGCGAACGGTGCAAAGACCACAGCAGCTCTTTATCCTGTCATACACAATGCCCTGGGCTCTCACACCACCCAATTTCTCCTTGCCCACCTTCAGGTGATGTTAAGGAACAAACCAGGTAGATCCTGGGAAGTCATAAACTGATCACAGACTATGTCCCTAGAAGAGTTTGAAGCATTTGCTCTCTAAGCAAGTCCCTCTGGCTTCCACTCAAGGTCCAGGAGCCAATTAACAAATGCCATGCTGGGCCGTGAAGGAGTCAGCAGGCACCACAGGGTGACAGGGTGTTGTTCGCTAACTCCCAGGGCTTAGTTCTGGCGAGCACGCTGTTACAGTGATTCCCCATCCCACCGCAGTTACTGGTACTCGATCACATCACCCCGTGTTATGCCTAGGCTGCTCAAATCAGCACCCAGTACAGACACCAACTGATCACCAACTCAAGCTAACGGTGCTGCAATCTCGCTAGCCCCTAGGAAGTCAGACCAAGCTTGCTAATGTATCCATCCTAAGCAGATGGTCTCAGTCTTCCTGCTCCTCCTTCAGAAAGGCCTAGGTGACTTCTAATGAGACACCCCCGTCCCCATAATGCCCCCTCCCACTTTGTGCTGGCCAACATCGCCTTCCCTGGAAAGCCAATTCTATGTGAGATGCCATAGGGGAACGCCAGTTAGGACCCACACTCTGACTGGCAGCAGAACTGATAAAGAACCATTTCCATTCTTTTCAGGTGCCGACTCAAGACTGAACACTGGCCGGGCCAGGTCTTACCATATAGCAGTCCTTTTCCAGTCCATTGCCACAGCCAGCAAAGAGGTAACCAGCCAGGAGCTGAGTTCCGTTGCCCTCCTCCCTTAGACCCACCCACCTGTTCCATCCCATCCTCTGCGCCCCCCCCCCCCCCCCCCCCCCCCCCCCTCCCCCCCCCCCCCCCCCCCCCCCCCCCCCCCCAGGGCTAGTTGAGCTTGCTGCAGATCTCCAGCGCTTTCTTATACACCTGGGTCACATCGTCCATATCAGTGAGGAGGGAGAAGCTACTGTCTGCCTGTCGGTTCCGGTACCGCTTCAGGTACTGGGGCCGGGGCCGGTTGTGCGGCGTCTCAAAGTCCTGAAGCTGGAGGAAGTCTTCTGCAGAGACGCAGCTGCGGATGCGCTGGCGGGCTGGACGGTTCTCCTGGAGGTCTAACAAGTCAAAGGAGTCGCTGGACAGGACACTGTCATCGCTGATGACACTGGACGGGCGGCTGTAACTCCGAGAGACACCATCCGGGGGGACACCGGGCGCGGACAAGGATTCCAGTGTGGGCATTTCGGGGCTGGTGAGGGCAGGGTCTGCGGCAGCACCGTCCGAGTACCTGCTGCTGTGTTTCAAGATGCCCTTCCTCCGGCAGGATAGGCTGTGGGAGGTTCCCCGGGCTGCCTCTGGGGGAGGAGAAGAGAGGCCGCTGCCGGTGATGACGTCATTACCGTCCAGCAATTCGGAAGACTCGCTGCGTTCAGGGGATGAATAGTAACCAGATTCTCTCTGCTGGGTCTTTTTCAAGATACCTTTCTTGGGCATCGTGGCTGACTGTTTGAGGCTGAGCTTCCCTGACATGTCTGCCTCGGGGGAACTGGGGAGGGGAATGCCGGTCCGGCACAAATCTTGCTCCATCTTGAAAGGGGACGGTAAGGTCGGGCCCACAATGCCTTCGATGAAGCCAGTACTGTGGGAGCGGTGTTCACTGTTGCTCCTCTTCTTCAGAATGCCCTTGGGCCTCTTGGAACTCAACTTGGATGGGCTTTCAGGTACCGAGTCCTGGCCAGCCGGGGGAAAGTCATTTTCTTTCTTGGACTTCTTCAGCGACCGTTGCCGCTCCAGGACCACCTCAGAGGCTCCGGGTTTGGCCAGACCCTTCATCTTGGCTTCAGCCTCAGCCTGCAGCCCGGTGGAACGATGGTGCCAATCGATAATCCGTGCTAAGAGCGGAGACTCGGAGTCAGGAAGGGCATCACAGTCACAGACACTGCTCTTGTAGCCCCAGTTCACCCACCAGTGGTTGGCAATGTCCTCGATGGTGGCCCGGCGGTCAGGGTTCACCATCAGCATCCACCGAATGAGTCCTCGTGCATCTAAGGGGTGAAAGACAAAAAAGAATCAGGCTATCCTTGGGAGCTTTTGGTGGGGTGACTTTTTCCATGAATGGTTACAGAGACATGCACACTGCAGGGGGAGAAAAAATCCATTTGGAGCATTCTGGCCTCTTGCGGAAGCAGGAGGAAAAGCCTTTAGACTATACAACAAAAACCCTACCCGAGGCTCAGGACCACGAGCCACAGAACGGTCCCATCCTGACCCCATGCTTTCCGTTTCTTTCTGTGGTGGAACTTCACGTGTGGAAGTGCACATGTGTGTATTGGTATATAATCTGTGTGGAGGCCTCAGGACCAGCAACCTTTTTCTTTTAAGACAGAGTCCTTCCACTGGCCTAGACCTCCCTGAGAAGGCCTGGCTGACTGGCCAGCAAACCCCAGGAATCCATCCGTTTATAACCCAGAAGCAGCCTGGTCTTAATTGTGCATTACCCGTCTGGTGTTTTGAGGTAGGTTCTTAGGCTCGAAAGCAAGCATTTCCACACCCACAAGGCAAGCAGTCCCCTGCGCTCTCCCCACACGATCCGCTCCTCCACACGTAAATGAACATCCTGGAACTGCTAACCTCTCTGTCATCCCAGATCGGCATCGAGGACCACAGGCCAGGTAATTGGGAAAGAATTCTAACTCAATCTCACTGTCTCTTTCCTACCCGAACAAAACACAGGTGCTCACCAGAAGCCTTCCAGAGGTACGTACTTGTGAACACACAGTCCTCAGCCACCTGGAAAAGGTGTTGGAGGCAGAGGATGGAGAACCGCTCACCTGTGCCAGGCGTGGCTCTTACCTGACACACCTGGGCAGAGAGAACAGCTTTACCCACGGCTGGTCCCGAGGTCTCAGCCAGGATCTGAGAGCCACACCCAGTGAGCTCAACCTCCTGTGTCTGACATAAGCCCTATTGGTATCCACCAAACCCAGAGCTGATCTTTATCTGCTACCCAGGTGGCCACGGCCTTTCTTTTTAAAAAAAAAAAAAAAGGGGGGGGGAGGTCCCTTTGTAAATTCTACTGCCAGAGATAAAGGGGCAAGGCTCCCAAGGATGCTGAGGAAGCCACAGGAGCCAATCTCACAGCTGGTAAACTGACTTTCAGGATCAAGCTGTGCCCTGCACCTCACCTGGCACTGAGTTATACCCTGGGAGGCTGGCTCCTCCCCTCAGCCATGTGTGAAGGCTGGGAAGAGACTGACAGAGCCTAGTAATTGGGACAGAGTGATCGATACTCCTGAGAAGGGACAGGGTCATCAATCACTTGGTGAGAATTTCCTGAACTCTTTTACAAGGTGCCAGGAAGTTTACTGGTACCAGTTAGTGGGTAAAAGACTACAGAAGTCACAAGTCATGTCTGTCATTCTGCCTGTCCATCTGTCTATCATCTATCTATCTATCTATCTATCTATCTATCTATCTATCTATCTATCATCTATCTATCTATCTATCTATCTATCTATCTATATCATCCATCTATCTGTCCATCTGTCTACCATCCATTTTTATCATCTCTATTCATCTCTATCATCTGTCTGTCTATCATCTATCTATTTATCTGTCTGTCTACCATCTATCTATCTCATCCATCTATCTGTCCATCTGTCTACCATCTTTCTATCATCTCTATCATCTATCTCTATCATCTGTCTATCATCTATCTACCACTTACGTACCTACCCACCCATGTTAGTCCTCATCTTTCTATGCTGGCAAATTTACCTAAATTTCTTTGCAATCCCCAAGTCAATTCCCTACTCTTCTGCAGGCCCCGTGTCCACAGCGCAGTGGAGTCTCAGGACTCTGAAGCAGGCGTGTCTGGTGCTCTGGTGGCTGCTCTCAGGCTGTGAGTAAGCATCCCTTTCCCCATTTGCTTCATGCTAGATTGTCAGGTTTCTCTTCTTCCTGCTAGAAGTCTGCCATCCAAAATGCCCCCCCCAACACCACACAGACGTTCTGTCTGTTATCCTCAGGTGCAAAGAAGACCGTGAAAGGTCTTCAGGAGAAAAGGTGCGGTAGATAAACATTCAGACATGGGGGAACGTTCCACTGGCCACTGAATTCAAGGTTAATAGATCAAAAATGCCCATTAAATGAAGTGTTCTTCAATGTAAACAAACCGGAAATGTTACATATTGATAAAGACAAAACTATGTATCGGGCTAAGGGCTCAAAGCTAAGCCTGTGAGACCAATTCTGGGTTTGTAGCAACTTTATGAAACCACTGTGAATCGTTAAAACCACAACTGTGTGTCCATTAAATGGAATGTACACAAATATTAAGCACATTCTGTGCTGGCCATCTGTCCACACTCCTGCACACACCTGGTGCTCTCCCATGACGAGGTGGAACTTTTGACCTTGGTTGCTCTGACCAAGAAAAAAAATCCCAGGGGGAACAGAGCCCAGTCACTGAGCACAGTTTACAGGAATAGCTGACACCTTCTTCCTCATCGGAGCCCCTAGTCAGCTGCTAAGTAAGAGATCCAGGCTCTACTCTGGAATGACCAGTCACAGGGAGGAACCTCAAGAGTCAGAGCCACACAGACAGGCAAAGAGGTAAGGGACACTCTTTGAAAGAAAATGGCCCCCAAATAGAGTGGCACTATCAGGAGGTGTGGCCTTGTTGGAAGAAGTGTGTCACTGTGGGGCAGGCTTTGAGGCCTCTTCTGGAGCTTCCCTCAGTGCGGCAGTCAATCAACTTCCTGTTGCCTGCAAGATGTAGACTCTAAGCTCCAGCACCATGTCCGCCTGCACACCGCCACGCTCCCCTTCATGATCACAATGGAATGAACCACTCCAATGAAATGATTTATTTGTAGGAGTTGCCGTGGTCTTGGTGTCTCTTCACAACAATAAAAAACCCAAACTAAGACAGACGTGCAGTCCCAGCGGCAACCCTGACTCCCAGATAACTGGAAGTCGGTACAAAGGAGACCACGGTGAGGCCAGACGCATACCACCCTGCCCAAAGGACTGATAGATAAGAGCCCTGGTGGTCGTTTAAACAGATAGGTACTGTTAGGAAAGAAGAATGGGGAATAGCAGATGTCTCTGTGAGCGGGGGCAGATTAACCAAGCGCTCTCCCCTCCAGCCCCGACCTCCGCAGGACACACACCTGAGGGTTGTGTGGGCTCCCGGTACTCTCCGCTGCTGATCTGTCGAATGAGGTTTTTGTGATCGAAGCCATCGAAGGGCATCGTCCCATAAATGAGAGTGTAAAGCAAGACGCCCAAGGCCCAGCTGTCCACCTGGAGCAGAGAGACAGGACACATAGGAGCTAGGATGCAGACCCCAGATGCCTTCCAAACCGTTGGCATTGCTGTGTATGAACCCATAGCATCCCCGGGAGCTGGATTTAGCACCTGGAAGGCAGGTTACCACCGCAGCCCAGCAATAAACAAGCAAGCCCACTCTGCTTCGGAGCACTCTGAAGTAGGAAACTGCCTGGTTCTCGTGATTCCATGAGGCAGGTAGAGACTAGGGTGCTTCCAGCTCAATGTGAAAAATGAAAATAGAAACTGGATAGTGGTGGCACACGCCTTTAATCCCAGCACTCGGGAGGCAGAGGCAGGCGGATCTCTGTGAGTTCGAGGCCAGCCTGGTCTACAAGAGCTAGTGCCAGGACAGGCTCCAAAGCTACAGAGAAACTGTCTCAAACAAACAAACAAACAAAAGAATCAGTTCCTCACTTTACCTCCTTAGAGGGCTCAAGGGTTCCAAATCCTACCAGAGCCAGAAAGGCAATAAACACAAAAACAAAGCAAAAAAGAACTTAGGGTGTAAATGTGGAAAGCTGGGGACAGAGACAAACTGTAGTGGGCAGGCAGTTTCTTCCTGGCTTATACTACCGCGCACAAATGTAGGCCTACAACTGCCACCGTGTTCGGTTTTTACAGAGAAGTCAGAAATACGACTTTTCTGTGGAATCTCTCAGCTACTAAATGTTGGTTCATTTTTTTCTTAAAGGAGATGAATGTGGCCAAATAAAGTATGTTTGCTGACCAGACCCGAGTGCCCGTTCACAACCTCAGACCCCACCCAGCAATGACCAAAGAAGCGTCTGACAATAAATTTATAGGCCACTCTGAACCCTATGCTTGTCCCTGAGATTTTGTTTTTTGAAGACCTTCTCTTTACTTCGTTAGTGATTCTTGGCAGCCTTCCTTTTATCCCAGCCCTGCCACCAAAACACTCTCAGATGGATAAATATTTGGAAGAAATCATTTCTACACAACAAGCAGCTGCTATTTAAGGGTTTGGGGTGGGTGAACCTCCGCAAGGAGAGGCTCACCATCCTACTAACTGATGGTTTCTGTCAATTTGACACAATCTGGGGTTCACCTAGGAAGAGGGAACCTCAACTAAGACAAAGGCCTCCATCAAATTGATATAGACCAGTCTGTGGGCATTTTTCGTGGTTAATCATAGGTGTGGGAGGGCCCATCCACTGGGGACAGTGCCAACCCTAGGAAGGTGGCCCTGGCTTAAACAAGGCTGCGGGCTAGTAAGGCATGAGGAACAATCCAGTAAGCAGTGTTCTTCCGGTCTTTACTTCGGTTCTTGCCTCCGGGTTCCTGCCCTGACTTCCCTTCATGATAGACCGTCTGCTGTAAGATGAAATGAACCCTTTCCTCCCCCAAGCTGCTTTCACTGCCGTGTGTAATTGCAGCAATAGAGCACAAGCTAGGACAGACGCGTATCTTACAGTGACCATGAGAGCCCTTCTAAGGCATGTTACAAAATACATTTCTCACAAAAGAGAAGATGCCACTAAAATTTATTTCTTCAGACACACACTATTAAATATGGGCAAAAGAGGTATATACCTGATGAGAGTTTTCTTTGCTCTGTTTATTTTGATACACTGGGGAAAATCAAGTGTCTAAAGCCAGGTAAATTATTAAATATATAATAATATATGCATAAAGCAATATTTTATGTGGTTATTACTAATCATGTTAATAATGAAGCTGGAAGGTGTCACAAAATAATTATAACTTGACAAATAGCAAGTGTATGCGTGTGTGCATGTGTGTGTGCATGTGTGTGTGTGTGTCACAGTGTGCATAATGTGCCCTTTACCAATTTGATCTCAATTATTTCTAAAAAGAGAAAAATCAAAAAAAAAATCAAAGAAATCCTTAGCAGCTGCCTATGGTGGAACCGGCATCTTTATCTGCTCTTGTAGGCTTCTCTAAGGCTTCCACAGCAAGGCCTCCTGTTGACAATCTCAGGAGATACATAGTTGGGGGTTTTAAGAACTTTCAGAGATCTTGTTCTTGCCTCCCTCTCCTTCCAGCTTCCCCAACCCTTCCCCGGCAGGCTGCTCACCTCTGGCCCTCGGTAAGGCCTCCCGTTAACAATCTCAGGAGATGCATAGAGCGGACTCCCACAAAATGTCTGCAAGTACTTGTCCTTCTGGTACAGGTTGGAAAGCCCAAAGTCAGCGATCTGCAAAGAGAAGCAAGACCCACGGAGATCTGCATGAGTGACGTCGCTAGCGTCTGCAAACTGACTGGAACCTCAGTCTCAGCCAGCCTTGCTAGTCGAACGCCTCCTGTGCTCCACTATTCCCAGCCTGATTTCCAATTGCGTGTTAGCAATGTGCTGGATGAGCCACATGCCTGGAGAGCTTCTGGGGCTGAATGCCACAGAAGCTTTTTTGAATGAAGCCCCTCAAAAAAGCCTATTTTTGTTTAAAAAAAAAAAAGTCATCCTTGGACGAATGGAATGTCATTCAAAGCAGCTGCACACAGCCACCCTTAGAAAAGGCATCCTTGGGGCTCAGATTGCACTTCACCGCTCCGAATTCCACTTGCTTATCAAGGCCCCTGACTGGCTTGCAGGAAGTTGGTGGGAAGCTCTACAGAGTGTGCCCTGTCAATCAGAAGAATGAACCAGCTTCAGCTCCTGTAAAGACTCCAAGGAGCCCTGGGGCTTCAGCTCTGCTCAGCCACAGCACAGTGCCAATGCTGTCTGGGGCACGCTGGGTCTTTCAAACACGCGCATGTGAGAACACCCATTGCACGTGCACACAATCGCCCACCGCAGGGGCTTTCACACGGGCTGGGCAACTCTGCATGCCACGCAGGCACTCTGGCGGAAGTGTGTTTACATTTCGGGCACACTCCCATCCTTGCAGACTGGTGCTTATCAGCCTCCCTGTAAAACTGTCATTGCCGTGGACACAAGATTAATAGAAATCTAGATTAGCCCATGTTCTTGGCCCTTGAACGGAAAAGCGGTATTAATCAACACACACGCAGCATTCCCAGACCCTGAGCCACTCAGCGCTAGGATTTAAAGCCACATGACACTTATGTCAACGATTGCTAAGTAGGAAGACACCACCAGGTGTAATCCACTCAGAAGCCTCAATTCCCCCATCTGTAAAACGGGGTAAGGACCTTTCCTATCCCTATGGTGTCATGACAATTAAACGGCATAAAGCATGTATCAAGTGTATAGAGCATGAATGGCACATTTGTGTTTAAGTCCTGATAAGTGACTGATTTCAGGACACGTGAGATGGCATTGACCATAACACCAGGGATTTCAATAAGAAAGAAGGAGACGGTCAAGGAGGTGAGCAGTCACATGAGTGAATTACTCTGAACCACAAAATGAAGAAGTCCTTCTCTTCTTTGACATGCATCAGGAAGGTGGTGAGCCACTGGGTCTATTAAAGCGTCTCCACATTCACCAGAGAGAACCAACCAACCGGCCGTGGGCTCGCAGCTGGGGCAGCGGCCAACATCAAGCAACAACATAACACTGCTTTTGGTTTCTATTATTTTGACTCCTTAAGCTCTTCTTTGGGCCGTGGTACGTATTTCCCATCAACGGCCATTATTTAAAACCGAGGGTTAAACGTAACACGTCCACGCAAAAACCCATCACATTGTAGAACTGATTGCCATCAGTTTAGAGGAGGCCTGGATAGCAGGAAATGAAGTTTCTGAAGGTTCGGGGTCCTAAGAAGATTGGCTGAGGATCAAAAGGAAAAGCAACAAGGCACACAGGGTTTCTCGAGCTACCCAACTCTGTAAAAGGACATTTCCATCCTTTAGCTCCACCTCTTACCACGTGTAACTAACAGAGGCATGCCAATCAGGCCGGCTCTACTCCCCGCTGATCCTTGAGCCAGCATAGCTTCCCAGCATCTTAGAAGACAGACTCTGCAGCCCCGCCCAGCACTCTTGCTGGCAAACTGTTCAGCTTTGGAGAAAGAGGCCTCTCTGTTTGTGTGTGAGGGTGTGTGTGTGGGGGGGGGGGGTGGCTATTTGTTTCTGTTGTTGTTGCTGGTGCTAAACTGTTGCCCTGTCCTGTACTGGATCAGAACCACCCTTTGAACCTCATCCTACCTCCTGCAGCTCGGCTTCCACTCTGAAAGGCTTCAGAGAAGATAAAGCTCCAGAGTTTAATTTGCACTTCCTTTGTGACTATCCATCCCCTCTAGAGGTGTGCCCTAGCTAAGTGAAAACCGGAGTCAAGAGATAAATTAGGGGGGATCATTCACGTGGCAGCGGGATTAACCCCACTTCAACGCAGATGAACCCTGCAGACAAGAGCGGTTTGAAATAAGCCAGGCACAGAAAGATACTCATTGTCTGATTCTATTTATACCCGGTCCCTAGAGTAGATAAATTCATCGAAACAGAAAGTAGAACGGTAGTGATTGCCACGGGGAGGGGGGGGGGCAAGGAGCTTGGACGTAATGGGTGTGGAGAGAGGTGCAGGTGCAGGGGAGGACTGTGGTCCTCAGCTGGGTGCTGGGGTACTTCCTGCCTCTGTGCTGGACACCCAAGTACAGTAGGTTTTAAGTTACATTACGCATATTTTGCCACCATCAAAATAGAATGAACCCCAAGGTCACTGTGAATGGCAAGCTCTCTTGATGGGAGAGGAGGCAGCAGCTGGTTGGTTTTTAAGTGCTAAGAAAGGAAGCCCGTGACTAGGCTCCTTAGGAATGTCTGCCCCTTGCAGTGTCTTAGAGGAAGTGCCCTGCACTCAAAGATCAGAGGCTTAGGAGTCACAGGAATAGGGGTTGAACTTTGACCCTCTCCTTACTAGGTAATCATTGGTTAAGTACCACCATGTCACTCAGTTTGTCTATCTGAAAAGTGGACTCAGAACCCTTGCCTATAGAGTTGTTAACAAAAAGACTGGAGACTAAGTTACAGCCATCTCCATTAACAGCTGGAGGCCGACTCAACAGAAAGCCCGAGTACCCACTGCCCAACTCAGAGCATGAGATTTCCACCCATGTCTGAGAGAGGCAGGTCCAGTGTGGGAGGCCACATCACAGGATGGGAAGAAGCTGAGGTACTCTAGTTCCAAACCCAGTCAGTCTAGCTACTCCTCCCTGGTCCTTGCCCCAGCATCATCAGCATCACCTCACAGCATCTTAGAAAGCAGACTCCTGGGTCCTTCCCCGGGGCCTGTTGAATAGAAAGTAGAAAGCTACATTGTAACAAGATCCCCTCCTGAGCCTGGGATTCTTTATCTGTAAAATGTGACTGATGCTCACACCATGGTCTACCAGGAAGGGCTGTTGAGAAAGCGAATTAGCAGACATGTGGCAAGTGCAAACCCTAGGTCTACCACATAGCAGGCTTTCAGCAATGGAGTTTTGACACTTCTTCCTCTGTGAGTCTCAGCTGTCTCTGCTAGGACACGGATCTGGAGCAGCCGTAACCAGAGCTGAGAAAATGGCAGTAAGTGGGGAAGAAATAGGAGCATTGAGGAGAGCCAGGCACTGTCTAGGAGCTTGACATAAACCTCTGCAGATGGCTCTCCCAACAGCCCTCAAAGAAAGGTCTCATGGTGATTTCCTCTTGGCAGATGAAGAAACTGAGGCAAGTGGCTTGCTTGAGGAGTCTCCCCAGAGCCATCCTGGCCATTAAACTACGTGTCAACGGGAGTTATTGTTCACAGGAAATGGACTTCCCTTGACTCCAGGAGGATGGTAATTCCACACAGGAAGACACAGTCTGTCGCTCCTTTCTGGCCTCAGGGTTAATTACTGTGACTTTACCCAGGACAGCCACTGTCCTGTGCAATTGCAAGGAACAATGAGCAAGAGGGAGTGGACTGGTTTCCGTCTTCAGAAGATTTATGCTCACGTGGTCTTGAGATCAGAAATGCCCAACCAGGAGCAATCTGGGAAACTCTTAACAGAAGGTGTGGCAAGGGTCACACTGCAAAGGATCCTAATGCCTAGCCAATGTCACTTGGCTGTACACACATCTCTAGTGTCCTGTATGGCTACTCTGCATACAGTGACGCCATCAGCCTTGTCACTGGCACTTGGAGATCTCTCCCAGGGACAGCTATCTGCAAGTCAACAGCGCTCTACATAAGAGGAAATGAAAGGACCCTTGGGTGACCTTCCTTCAGAGGGCAAATCTTGGGGTTGACAGGAAAGAGTAGAACCAGGGGTGGGGTGAGCAATGGTTTGTAGCCAGTCTCATTCCTGATTAGCTATAGGAACCTCCCTGTCCATCAAAATGAGGCAGTCAGTTCCACCCCAGTGAGGGTATTCACACGGAAGGTCTGGCTGGCCCAGGGCTCTGGCCTCCAGCAGTTCAGTGAAGTTCCCTTTTCTCTGCAAGCTCCATCCGTCAGACCCTTCTCCCCAGCCTTCAGAACTGAGATCTGTCACCACTCTCTCCACAAAGCCCTCTGCTCCATCTGGCTAGACAGACACACCTCTTCCTGTTTAGCATGTCCAGATGGCAGGGGAGCATCTGGCCTGCCAAGGGATAAGAACTTTCTGGAGGAAGACCCACTAACGAACAGACAGACAAAGAGGAGTGGAACGGGCATCTCGGACAGAGGGAACAATATGATCCAAGGTCAGGAAGTCAGACAAGGCTCCACAGATTTGAGGACGCCGGACATCAGCATCGTGCATTCCTCTGTTTATTGCTCTCAGCCCCAGCCGACATCCCCAGTCCTCTCGGGGAACCGACTTATCTTCTTTGCCCTCTTAACATCTGTTGGCTCATTATCACTACCAGTGCAGACTGCCACACTCTGAGCTCCGAGACAGAAGGAACCTGGCTATCTGACTCAGCATTAAATTCCCCAACACCCAGCACAGGACTAAAGATGAAGTATTGGAGATTTGGTAAGTATATTATGAACAAAGAAATATTGCCTATAGCAGACATTCAGTTCCCGAAGGAACAAATGAGTGACTGCAGGCCGCGGAGGCACACTGCGATATAAACATGCCGCGCGCACACACACGTGTGCACACACGAGTGAACGAACTAGTTAATGCGAGAGTAGGCGGTTCTCACACTCGTCTAACCAAAGCCGAGGTCCACCATCCCTAGCCTCATCTTGCTAAGCTGCCAAGACTCCTATCTCATCTTGTCCCTACCAATCAGAGTTTCTTTCCTGAGCCAGGCAGCCAAGCTTTCATTGTCACAGGGGGGCAGCGGATCATCTCCCCTCCGCTCCTCTACCCTGAGCTCAGCAGATTCCCAGCCCTCTCGGAGGAGGTCAGCTGACCCGGGCGGGCGCCTGGCCCTCTTCCGGGGAGGCACTTTTACCGGAGCCTTCGGTGGGAATTGTCGGCATTCCATCCTCCCAGAGAGTGGGACGTGAATCTGGCCTGTTTTTATTAATTGCAAATTAATGCTAGGCTGGGTGCTATTTTCGGCCGTGCTTCTATGGAGAAAGGAATGCGATCCGAAAGACTGCATCGCGCTCATTCCTTCTGCCGCTGGGCTGCGGGAGTATTTTTAGAAACCGCACCCTCTTGCTGTGGTCAGATAAATAATTTCCCAAGCCAGATGTGCTCTCTGTGAATTGTCCTCAGGCAAAGGGAAGAGGAACAGGCCACACAGCTCACACCAGTCACACCAAAATCACAGCAACAGCTAACAAGTTTTAACCAGAAGCCTCTTTAGGGGCTTCCTGGGCTGCTACCCTGCTTCCTTAAACACAGGAGACGTGGACCGACAATGTGACAATGCCCTCCCCCACCACCACACACTCTTATGAAGACCTTGCTGCTCACATCTGGTAGGTTGGTTGGTAGCACATTTGTACCCATGCCCCCCTAGGCCCAGGCAGCGATGGCCCCCTTATTCACACAGAGGCCAGCTTGTGGCCATGTGTCTGACTGCTTCTGTCAGCAAGTGTCCTTTCTAAACATGCCGCTGCAAAGCGCTGAGTCAGGGAGAATGGGGCCCTGTACAGCCGGAAGACAGATCAACACCAGCTGAAACACATTCTTAAGAACCCTTGGAAGTGGGTGTGAGATGATGAAAAGGGTTTGCCTGGCAGTCAGACATGTGAGCTCCAACCCTAACTCCTGTGCCCCAAATCAAACAGTTCTTACTGCCAACATATGCCAGGCACCACCGGACGCTCTGGGAGAACAAAGACACAACAAACTACTGATTCATGGTTCGATTTCAGGCACAGGCCTTAGACATTCTCGGTCGGAAAAGGACCCCCAACAAGTCTTTTCAAGTAGAATAAAGGTCTTTGTAGAATTCTTAGGAACAATGGAGAAAACAGTAAATAATGGCTTTTTAAAGGGAAAGCTTTTCTTTGTTGGGCAGGGTTCGAGCACGCGCATGCATGCGTGCGAGCATGCGCTCGTGCGTGTGTGTGTGTGTGTGTGTGTGTGTGTATGTGTGTGTGTGTGTGTGTGTGTGTGTGTGTGCGCGCATGCGTGTATGTTCCCAGCTTGGGAAATGTCAGGAGCAGGAGCAGAGATTCCTATTATGAAAAGGGCAAAGAGAAATACAGGACCAAACTTGAATTTTGTAAAGTACTGTGTGTGCGACTTGGCTACAAAAGCATAGGACCCCAGGTTGAAAACCTGGTCCCCAGGAGCAGCTCTCTGTGAAGCCACTGCTCCGTGGCGTTTGCAAAGGGAATTTCTTCCAGGCTGCTGTCCCTCTGTCCCCTATACAATTACTTTCTGAATTCTAGCCATTCTTCTCCTCTATTAGGGAATTAGATGACTCCACAGGAAGCTATGCGCTTATCACTTCTGGGACTACACCACGGGACCAAGAGGTCACACTGAACTACAGAACCCAATCCCCAGGCGAGAGGCTCACATTCCAGACCTTGTAAAGACTACATTTAGTTCCGAGGGCTCTGGGCGACAGGTGGCAAGAAGAATCTGGACAGAAACTCACTGAGATCAATGGATGGTACAAACCCCATAGAAGGCAAGGCTCCAATGGGCAGCAGGGCCCAGCCACCACTCGCCTGGAGCCACTTGTCCCAGCAGCTGGCTTTCCTTGCCATGCTTCCTCTAGGGACCAGTCATTTACGAAGGAAGCTCTTGGGATAGACAGAGTTAAAAGTGCTGTCTCATTTGCCTATATTTTTAGATACAATCTTCACATTTGTTACCAATGCCTACAATTGGCCCACAGAAACGCTAAGGAACACTCACTGGAGATAAAGGAACAAGTCAACCCTAGAGACACAGCTAGCCTCCCTACTTCATAGGGGAAACTAAGATCATTGGGTGAGAAATTTACCCAAAATCCTGCCATCAGTAAGAAGCGAAACCGCAGCACAAACCTAGGCTTCCCAACTCCAGAGCACAGACTCATTTGTACACAGTGATTTCAACAGTGGTGGCACACACCTTTAATCCCAGCACTCGGGAGGCAGATGGATATCTCTGTGAGTTCGAGGCCAGCCTGGTCTACAAGAGCTATTTACAGGACAAGCTCCAAAGCTACAGAGAAACCCTGTCTCGAAAAACAAAAACAAACAAAGCATAGAGAAAGAGAGAATACCTTGGAAAGGCCCCCGGAGCAAGGCTGCAGCTGTTACTACCACCTATTTTGTGACTGTAGAAACTGGATTCTGTGGTTTCCCTTTGTCAAGGAGCTAGGAAGCCCCACAGCCCATAAGCTGTCCCCCCCCCCGTTTCAATACTGGGGTCTGAACCAGGGTTTCATACATGATCAGCAAGTGCTCCACCACCGAAATACAGCCCCAACCCATAATTGTTTAACTTGATAGTTAGTGTTCCTTCTAGAATAATCCAAAAAACTTGCTGGAAGGGAAAAGAGACCTTGAGATTTCACTTCCTGTTCCTAGGGAGAAGGACTTCAAGCAATTGTTTTCATCAGACTCTATGGACAGCACAGAAATATGTGAACGAAGCCAACTCCTCTGCTGAGCAGGGAGGTCATGGGGATGTGTCCTTCAAGGACTCAAAGGACCCTAGTGGCTGACGGTTGACTGTCATGTTCTACAGAGTCCAAACTCCAAAGCAGCTCCATTCTTCCAAGCAAGGATATGGTTCTATCACACGGCCATCAACAAGACACCAGCAGCAACAACAGAGGAGGGAGGTGTAAGACTGTCCCTACGCCTTTTCTAGTGACCAGGGCCGAGCCATTCATGTCACAAGTGTCCAACCGGAGGGGGCTCCTGTAGGGCCGGGACTGCCGAGGACATTTCATAATGAAACCCATACAGCGAGCTCCGTTTATTTTGAAATGATGTTTGCTTATTTTGCAGGACATCCAGACTGCTCCCCAGGAGGCTCTTCAACCCTGGAGAGCTTTCTCCAGCTCCAGTGGCAGCCAGAAAAAAGTGAACTCCACCACTCACCCCCCCCCCGCCTTTTTTTTTGGAACAGGGTTTCTCTGTGTAGCTTTGGAGCCTGTCTTGGCGCTAGCTCTGCAGACCAGGCTGGCCTTGAACTCACAGAGATCCACCTGCCTCTGCTTCCCGAGTGCTGGGATTAAAGATCTGTGCCACCATCACCTGGCTTACCCTTTCTTTTCTGAAGATTGATTTTTATTTCTAATTATGTGTATGCACACATGTCTGGCATGCAGACCTATGCACATGTGAGTGCATGTGTCCACAGAAGCCGGAAGAAGGCATACGATCCTCTGGAGCTGGGATTACAGGTGTTTGGGAGCAGCCCAATGTGGATGCTATGTTCAGGTTCTCTAGAAGAGCAGCAAGTGTTCTTAATTGGGGAGCCATCTCTCCAGATCCCAAGTTACTCTTTCTGAATAAATACTACCACCATTGTACCGAGCTCTCAGTCCCATAGTTGGCTCATAAGTGAAAGAAAGATGAGGGGTGGGAAGTCACAGAGACATGAGCTGGGAAAGGCTGCTAAAGCAAGTGTGAGCTGTTTGCCTGTACCTTAGCCCTGACCCTCAGCACTTGGGGAGTGGAGGGAGGAAGAATCAGTTCAAGGTCATCCTGAGCTATGTAGCAAGTTCAAAACCAGCCTGGGTTCCATGAAGTCCAACCTCAAAAGAAAAAAAAAAGGAAATGGGTGGGGTGGGGGAGACTTCTAGGTTTAAAATAACTTTGGGCCCTTTTGTCATATCATAGCTGCATAGGGATAAGGACCTGGGCTGTCAACCTTTATACACCAACCACTGTTATCTGGACATGTTATCTACTCTGTCTGTGCCTCGGTTTCCCAATGTGTATGTGAGTTATAAAATAAAAACTGCCCATCTCATAAGCTGTCTGAAAGAGGGACTTATGAGAATCTTGAGTAAATGGAAACTGAAATACATACATACACAATACATACATGCATGCATGCATACATAGGAAATGCATATGTTACTGAAATACATAGGAAATATGTATGTCACTGAAATATATAGGAAATACGTATGTTACTGAACTACATAGGAAATACATATGTTACCGAACTACATAGGAAATATGTATGTCACTGAACTACATAGGAAATACATTGTTTTAAAATACTTATTTATTTATTTATTTATTATGTATACAATATTCTGTCTGTGTGTATGTCTGCAGGCCAGAAGAGGGCACCAGACCTCATCCTAGATGGTTGTGAGCCACCATGTGGTTGCCGGGAACTGAACTCAGGACCTTTGGAAGAGCAGGCAATGCTCTTAACCACTGAGCCATCTCTCCAGCCCCGGAAATACGTATGTTACTGAACTACATAGGAAATATGTATGTCACTGAAATATATAGGAAATACGTATGTTACTGAACTACATAGGAAATATGTATGTCACTGAAATATATAGGAAATATATAGGAAATACGTATGTTACTGAACTACATAGGAAATATGTATGTCACTCTTGTGATAAGAATTTCAGATTGTGCACTTCCTGCTGGCAGGGACCGTGTCTTTTGCTGTCCTAGCAGGGAAAAGAGAATCTGGTAGGTTGTAGATTCCTTAGTGCCTGCTGGCTGAATTAAATCCTTTGAATGAGCTAATTGCTGGGAGTCTTTCCCAGAGCCTGCCTGCCAGCAGAGGGAGTGGCTGCCTGAGATCCAGGCCTAGGGAAGCCACACCCACCCGCCACACCCACCTGCCACACCCACCCGCCACAGCCGGGCCTTGTCTGAGCTTTACCTTAATATTGCAGTTATCATCCAGCAGTATATTCTCCAGCTTCAGGTCCCGGTGGACCACACCATTCTGCAGTAAGAAAACAGGGGAGAGGTGAACAGGAGGGGGTGAGATGACAGCCGACAGGAGAACTCGGGGGAGGCGGGGCAGAGGGGACCCTCCCTGGTGGTCTCCACCTCCATCCTTCAGGCCTGCTCCCGCAGTCAGGACGCTCCCCAGACAGCGCCCAGCGACAGGAGCGCATTACTCATTTGCTGTGTGGTTAAAGGAAAAATGACTGGAATCCATTCTCCCCCAGAGCCTGTAAACCAGCAGGGAGATGCTTTGTGGGAATGTAATTCCGCTGTACGAAAGCAATATAATCCAAGGCAATGCAGACCCGGTCTGAGATGGGATCCCGGGGGAGCAGCAGACATCTCAGCTGGGGACATGGAGCATAGGGCTCCAGGGACAGCCTGCCTGCATGTCTGTCTGACTGCCTGCCTGCATGTCTGTCTGTCTGCCTGCCTGCATCCCTCATGCTGGAGAAAGGCCTGACCCAGTCTCCCGAGCTCTGTCTGGAATACTTCCGAAGCAGCCAGCCGGAAAGACTTGGAAGTCCCTCTTGCCACTCTGCAGGACGCAGGACTGATGAAAGGGAAGAGGTGGTTGCCCACCAAAGAGACCAGAGCCACTGGAGACTGTCATACCACGTACCCTTTTCATTCAGGAGAGCTCTGACCAGTCTGGGAGCTGAACTTTGGAGCAGCCAGCCAGTTTAAGGGGAAGAAGATACCAAAGGGCTGAGGGCGGGGCTCTGCCCAGCAGCCATGCTTGGTCTCCGTGAGTCTCCCAGGGATGGGTGGCAGAGAGAGCAGTGGACTGGAAGAAATGCTTGGGGCTGTGTGGGTGCAATGCGGAATGGGCTCCCAACCAATGGCTTCCTCAGAGGAGGCTGCCTTGTTGAGCAAACTGAGGGGCATAGCTACTGTTGGTTCTCTGCAATGTGTGTGTGTGTGTGTGTGTGTGTGTGTGTGTGTGTGTGTGTGTAACAGCTTCTAATGCCTCCACAATCCCTGACTGCGGAGAGCTGGCATGCATTCCTGCTACTGTTTTTGCTAATCTGAGCTCTGAGGAGGTGATTGAAAAAACAAGTCTCCTGGAGAAGAGACACAGAGAACAGGGATGCTGGTTCTCTTTAATGAAATACCCAGAGAAGTTTGGTTCACACGGTCACATTCCTGGCTGACATAAGAAGATGGAATGAGCCTAAGAAAGTCCCATTCAGACACAATCCGCACATTCACACGCTTCGGATAACGGAAGTACAGCCTGTGGTGCTTTCCAGTGTCACTTGAGGATACGTCTGATCATGAGTGTCTCTCGTGTCCACAGAGGTCAACCAACGGTTGGGGGAGACAGGCAGATCCTGAGGGCTCACTAGCAAGTCAGTCTAGCCGATCCAGCAAGCTTCACGCTAAGGGAGAGACCGTGTCTCTAACACTCAGCTGGGAAGTAACTGAGAACACCTGACATTGACCTCTGACCTCTATGCACACATGCACAAATGATCACACCTGCACACACACACACACACACACACACACACACACACACACACGGGATTTGAATAGGGGGAGTTTTCTCTCCCCATTCTGTAAATTCTCCACACATGTTGCAATGAACTAACAAGACATTTACGATATTAAGCGTGTCATAAGGTGTCCGCAGGCCATCTGCAGCCCAAGTGGCAAGCCCCGCCATACCTTGTGACAGTAATGCACAGCGGATACGATCTGCCTGAAGAAGTGTCTGGTCTCCCTCTCGCTGAGCCGTCTCCGCTCGCTGATGTAATCATACAGCTCTCCTTTGCTGGCGTATTCCATGATGATCACAATCTTATCTTTGTTCTCAAACACTGTGGGGAAGGGAAGGTGAACACACAAACACTGTCACCCAGCAGGATTAATCAGGACTGCAGAGAGGGAGCAAGGGAGACCCGTGGAGACGTCACTGACCAGATTGGGGTTGGGGGTGCCACAAGTCTGTACATTCAACATTAGGAGGACTTGGGATAAGGGTCGCTTCCCTCTGCCCCTGGACAAGCCTTGTACAGTTGAGAGAAACATACCTGGGTCTTTTCAGAAGAACTCACTCCCATTAACAAGATCATTTCTCCCCAGTTCCCTCCCACCCCTGTTCGGTCCTCTGTGGAGAGGACAGAGGATAAATGAACTGTGGAGACGGCTCTGTAGGTAAAGTATTTGCTGCCCAGCACTCAATAACATTGGCTGTTATTGTTTATTTTAATATTACTGGACCCCAGCACCTGGCACCAACACACACACACACACACACACACACACAATGAGCAACTGAGTTGAAGTGGAACCTGCCTGAAGCCTTGGTTCCCTGTCCTTCCAAACCTTGTCACCGGCTGCTAGCCAGTCACCCGCCCTGCCAGTTCCTTTTTGGCTCCTTCCAATCCAGCCAACCCTCTCTGATAAAATGAAGGGGAAGGAGGTAGGAAGCAGGGAGAGGAAAGGGTACAGCCAGATAACACTGGCTGCCCTCGTGTCTGCTGGCCTCTCAGGACCCAGCCACTTTGGCTCCTACCAGGACTCCAGCCTGGAGTGCACTCACTTTTTTCATTAACCATAAATTCTGGAAAGCAGGGAAGGTGGCCTCGACGTAAGTGTTTCAAGCTGATGAAGGAAGCAGCAGGCTTCCATTTTTTTTTTTTTTTTAAGGCAGGGAGAAGGAAGAAAAAAGTTAAGTGCTTTGACACATAAAATACACAAGAACCTCACATCTCAGACTCAGGAGCATCCCTAAAGGAGGTTGGGACTGTCATCTGAAGGACAGGCGGCATGTCTCCCGCAGACAGGACTACCCCAGAGCTGACCCCTCCATTTTCAACTGCATACTTCAGCATAGCTCAGTGTGACAGACCGTTCACTAAGCAACTCCTGCTGGCATGGCCTGATGGCATGACCTCTAAAATACACGCACCGGGTCCCTCCACCTCTGTCACCCCACCACAATTCCACCCTCACTGGCTTCTAACCCTTCTCTGTCACCCCACTGCCAAAGGGGCCGAGAAACAGAAAGCCAGTATGGCTGTGCTTCCTGGAGCACAGACCCTGGAAGGTGATTCAACAGGTGAAACATTTGGAAAAAGCTCCAACGTGGGCGTGGCTGCCCCTGAACAGCAGGTTCTTATCTTAGGTTCTGCAGGTGAACCAGGGCATCCCAGTGGTCCTACTCACATCCAGAGGAAGTGCAGGAAACACGGGATGCAAGTGATGGATATGAACGAGACCGCCCACCCTCTTGTTGTTACAGGCAGTCGGCAGGGCCACGGGATTCCCCTCGTGGCTAGGCCGGGCTATGGGACACCATCTGCAGCCTCTGCAGAAGGCTCTTGAGTTCTTTCTTAACTACAACACCAAGTACCGTACCCCTACTGTGTGCCAGCCCTGTGCTAAGAGGCATTTTGTGTGAATGACGTCATTTGGGTGTGGCCCTTTAAACGTCTTAGTTTACAGAGGGGAACACCTGGTAGAGCAAGGCTCAGAACAATCACCATGACTACAGAGAACTCAAGCGGGGCCAGGACAGAACGGTGCAATCGGCCTGCAGGCTCCAAGAGTGGCCTCTGCTACCATCCAGACACACCAGTCCTTCTGCCTGACTCTCATGAAGCAAAGACACTGAGAGAATTTGGGGGGCAGGATCGGAGAGCTAGCTCAGCACTGTGTCTTGGTCCCCCTCCCCCCCGAAGAACCCTCTCGCCCATCTTTTGGGCGACAGCTATTTTTTTCCCCCAGAACAGCCCAGTTCTCACAACAGCTAAGGGTAAGGTCTTGGGAATTGGCACTGAGGAATGGCCAGCTCTTGCACCCAAGACCTGAGACTCCTTACCCACAGCGAAGGTCACTCTGGGAAAGGTGGGAGGAATACTCGTGACCATTCTTCTTACAAAATGCGCCATTCCCCTTGGGCACTCTTTCAACTGGTTATTTATAAGCCCAGAAATCTTGTCTGTGTTTATGTTATTAGTCACTAAAGCAAAGCTTATTTTCCCTCCGTTGGGAAGGGTTTCCTTTCTGAAAAATGAAAGCCTGTGTCTCTTGGCCAGACAGTTTTCACCCAGAAGCGTGGTAGCTCCGAAATGGTAAGGAAAACGGCGGCCCTTGGCATGCCAGGCCTACCAGGAAACTGCAGGCCCTGAATAGAAACTTAGCTCAGCTTGAGTCAGCCCGCAGCAGTGTGCCAGGACCCTGAGGTGCCCAGCCTGGGTTTCAATAAGGCAACAAAGCAGCATAAAGCACCTACTATGGGGATGGCAGTGAGGATAATTAAAGATGTTACCACGTCAAGAGAGGGAGATGGCAGGCTTGCTGGAAAATAGCAAACAGAAGTGTTAGCAGGGCCCAGGGAACGAGGAGCAAGAAGAGGACTGACTATGCATGAAATATTGAGGCAGCGCCATGAGAAGCTCCCAGGCAGCCAAGCAGGTGAGTAAACATTGTCAAGACAGCAGAAAAGAGAGAAAGGAAGGCCAGAGGAGCCTCGGGAACCCTGGACTTTGAGACAGTTCAAAACTCACTTCCTGCCAGACAGTGACCTCGCCTTCCCACACAACGTGTTTCCCTATCTTCACCAGTGACTGCACGCCACACACTCAGCACAGACCGATCACAAAGATCCAGCAAAACCGGTGCAAGGGGCCAGGAGCTTGGGAGCAAAGGGATGGCTTCTGTGGATTTTAGAATAAAGGCATTTAACTATTGAGCTATCTCTCCAGCCCAACTGGGAGCATGCCTGCAAGCCACACGTCTTCCGATGCATATCCGCATGCACTGTTGGTGGACATGGTTCTACTATGACTCTCCCTCCATGCATCCATTCCCCCGGCGCTGCGCTCGACAGTTTCTCTTCATGGAGTCCATCTCACGGCTGTTTCTGGACACACACACACTTGATCAGCCTGCGAAGTCGCTGTCTGAGTGTCCTGCTATGTGTTAAAGCCGCTAAAACAAGACAAGGCATGGCCTTTGCCTTCGAGGAGCAGTGTCCTACTTGGAAATGGATGGTGCCTACCAAAAAATCCATGAGCCAAACTGGACGGCTCATACTTTTAGTATCCAGAGGACCAGAGGGAAGGACCAGTGATGTAAATCTGAATGAGTCTGAAAAGGTTCCTAGAGAAGAATACGCATGGAACCCAACAGGCCAACGGACGAGGGGTTTGCTTTGATCAGACGCTATCCCTATTGTTTTGGAACCGACTACCCAGACACTTCCCCTCTCTTCTACCCGTGTCTTGCTTCTTCCCAAAAACCAACCTGGATTACTTTCCTTGTTTTTTGTTTATTTCTATTTTGGGTGGTGTGTGTGGTGGGGGGAACAGACTGGTTGTTATAGTAACGGCTGTTCCTTCATATTCAACATGGATTTTATCAGACATTCACTCTGACAGTACACGTCCTCCGACTTCTGATTGCCTGGCTTTCACAAATGCGCTAATTAATCACACGGCTTCTAACGATTCCCTTCTGCTGCCCCCAAGGTTAATAACACAACTTGTACAGCTTGAGAAAGTGTGTAACATAAAAACAGCATGCTGGCCCGGGAGAAACACCAAGGAGTCAGGTGACCCTGGGATGTTTAACCAACCACTGGCCATTTCTGAACCAAATACACTTGGCCTTTTAGGCAGGAGAATAAAGTGGGGATCAGTTTACAGGATCCTCTGGGTGGTGGCAGATGGTTCTGGAAAACGAAAATTGTCTTCCTGTGGAGATGGAAGAGAGCTTGATTCATGTGGACTCTCCAGGGAGGAAGACTGGTTTGCAGGTTTTAAGGAAAAGGAACAGGGCTTAGTTAGGATGGACTGGCCAGCATTCTCTCCGTGGGTGGTTTGGATTCTATCTGCCCAGGGTACCTCTCACACCAGACAGTGACACTGTTTTTATTGATGTCCTCAAGCTGACAGAAGTACTCTCCACTCCCACGGGACTCACTTTGATTAAAGACAAGGAAGATTCTCATGGAAACCCCTAGCCTGCTTTTTTTTTTGGTTTTTTTTTTTGGAAATTTCAGAAACACATGAATATTTTCTTGAAAGAGCTGGCTCCCGCCTAATTAGTCACCATTACAAGATTAATTCTTCAAAAGCACATGCCCAAAAACCAAACTGCAAACACCTCAAGGGCTCACGGTTTCACAAAACAGTCCTGGGATGTCTGGGAGCCCCCGCCGCCAGGGTGAGAAAATTCAGCTGCACTAATAGCTCCCATTGTCAAGGTGATGGTCAGAGCTGAATCACAGGCAGGCACTTCCCAGTTTGGACAATGGAAGGCTTTCTGGTTCACACGTGTCTTACAATACACCAGCGCTCATTCTGGCTGCTGACTGGAATGCTGGAGAGAAGCCATACCCAGGCTGGCCACCCGCTGCCAGAGGTAGACTTCGGGGGACCCAGAAGAAAGGAGATGAAAATGTAACGGGTGTGGAAGAGTTCCTGACTCTCAGGACCCTGGGGAGGGAGGCTCGTCGGGGTTATAGAGACCTGGTCTCAAAAGGTCAAACTGGAAAAAAGTAAGGTATGGGTACAGTCTGGGGAAGAGGAGACGCTGAAGGCTCACTAAGAATTTTGTCCCTATGCCAGGGACAAATATGTGGGGGCCCAATAACAAATTCTAGGAGATCAAAGAACAAGGCTAGGACAAAGAAGAGGGGTCTCAAGGGTGCCAGCCTGGACTAGACCCAGCCTCCTGGTGCTGGTGTTGGTGTGTGTGTGTATGTGTGTGTGTGTGTGTGTGTGTTAGAGAGGGGGGGAGGAGGAGAGGGAGAGGAGAGAGAGAGATGGAGGGGGTAAGAGGACAGCGATGAAGGCAGTAAACTCACTTG